ATTGATTTTTTTATTATAAACGTTATTAATTAATTGTGGATTATATCCATTATTAACAGCTATTTGTTTTATTAAATTTAACTCGTATTTGAAATCCACTTCAGATAATGGTACATTTAAAAGTCTATGTATCATCGAATTAAAAGCTGCCATTTTATGTGGGTACGGGTGTGAGGAGGAGTTATGTATAACTGTATCTGTGTGACTGGGTTTATGAAAAATTTTAAATGAATGGATACCTTTGTTATTTTGGATAGTAAGGTCTTAAAATAAAACAATATTAACATGGAGTTTCATCAAGTAAAAGTCGAAACAATTAATTACCTCCTATAATCGTTACCGTCAAGAAAATTGTATTGGTCAACCTTATTTTTATTAAAGGACATTATATTTTACACAAGCGGCATGTACAAAGTCGGCACCGCCTCGCGGCTTTGTCTTTGGTTTTGGCGGCGTTTGACTCTTTTTACGCACTGCAATTTTCGGCGTCTTATTTTTCTAGATTATTAATTAGTTGAAGCTTATCTAAGCTAAGTAAATCTAGTGTCAATAAATAGGAATTAATTTTTTTTTAATATGGAAAAGAAAGCTAGACCGGGCCGAGTTCTAGTAAAATGCTCATTATGTGGATCTGTGTTTAACAAGGACTAGAAAACAATGCACGAGGAAAATATTCACGGTGGAAATTTGGTTAAAATTAAAATTGTTACTGTTCCGGATAATCCACTTACATTGGCAGCAAATCAAAAAAATAGAGAACGAGAATCAATCCCATCGACTTCGAAAGAGCATGCTAATGGTAGGTAAAGACATTCTTTATCTACACTTTACAACACTTTACATTCATGATAAAACTACTGAAAATTTTTACTATTACTACTAAAGTATCGATAAAAAAATAAGTTGTTTTTTTTTTATCGTCTCCACCCCCCCAAAAAAGTGTGCCTCGGTACGGCCCTGGATGAAGCGATGCTGAGATGGAGAAATCATGGCGCCAATATTAGCATAAATATTATTTTGTATAGGACCATCTTGAAAACTGTTGAAAAGTTATTTAAAATTGAGATCGGTCTATAGTTTGTAACATTAGATGCATCTCCAGACATGTGCTATTTCCCAGATGTCAGGGAAAACGCAGCATTATATACCATAATTCATCAAGTGCACACGGAAAGAAATTTTAAAAGTATTTATTACAATTCATATGACTATTCTTTTATCTAGAAGTTTTTAGGATAATTCTTCAGTATTGCAGTAATATTTCATTTTATAAATATAATTAATATAGTATGACTTACGATAATTGTGTAAGGAATATTATTGTAAATTTTCTCAAAATATTAACAATTTATATCTTCAATATAGTATTATTTCTTATCGCAAGTGTGGTAAAATAATTCATTTGCATTCTAAGAAAAATAATTTGAATACTGAACTTCTTTCTTGTATTTAATTTAGAAAAACGTACTAATATTTTAAAGTTAAAAAACATCGGAATAACCTTCTACAGTAGAAACCACCAATATATGAACGTGACTCATCGGGTGCCGAACATATCTCAGACATGCTAGCAGTAATGTTTTACTTGTCTTGTACATTCGATGCAACGGTAAATGTACTCACACGTAGGTTTTTAAGCATCCGGTCTAAAATGCGCCATCTGTGATGTAAAACTGCCTAGGTGTTGGACAAAGATGGACATATGACGCGTGTCCTAGCTTGTTACTTATATTCAGTAGAGTTCGTGTTTTAGGCATTTATTTTATTTTATTACATAGTAAGGCAACCAACTTTACCGTCGGCCATTTGTTTTTATATGTCATATGATCTTTGTTTTTGCATATTCTGTTTCTGCTGTGTGTTCACGGATTAATAATCGTTTTAAACGTTGTAGTGGCAGTGGTTTATATTATGTAACACAGGTAGATGTCGTATAAAAATCCTTACCTAGAAATTCTAGGCTAGAATACAAAAATATTTTTATTATATAAATTTTGTACTAGTATTAGTTTAATACATTCTGAAGAAGCTACTGTGTAGCGAAACAATTGTCAATATTTAATAAATTTCGTGAAACTAACGCAAGTTGTTTTTATATCCACACAATTTAAATATCTTTCACTTTGTACCTGACCTGCGTAAACATTTTTGTTTTTTGTCACCAATTCTGAAATATTTGCGTTTACAGTTAAAAGAATAGTATATTCTGTAACAAGTTTGACGGTTTCACGAGAGGGGAATATGCAATTCCAAACGTGTTTCAGACTATACTTTTTCTACGTTTCCAAAAAATACCATAGACAAAGAATTTAATTGGAAGAAAGTGAGGTTGGATCGGTCTAAAAATTTGTTAGATATTAAAATCAGAGATGTCGCCACGAGTGTACGTTCTGTCATCAAGTTAAAAGAAAAGTTTATTTATTAATTAGTTTCTAAGAAAATTACATTTTATTTAATTATCGTAGATGTTAATTATGTTAGATGTTAATTATTTAACTTTAAAACCAAATATATCATAAGTATAGCAACCAACATTACACTCAAGATTTTTTACAAACGGGACTGCACTGGACCGTGACCTTCGATAGATTGCTTCGTACGAATGTGTCGGATGAGTCACGTTCATATATTCGTGGTTTCTACTTTAGGTTTATTACTATTGTTGTAAACCAAACAAGAATCCGATCGTTGAATACTACGATATCCTGGCAATTTTTGATTGAAATCGCGTACTACAGGGCCTAATTTGCTCCGCCAATAAGAGGACTTCGCGCGTGCACTTGTTACCGCTAAAAATTGCAGTTGGGAAGGGGTGGGTTGAGAAGCTTGGAGGTCATTACTAGCTGAATGTCTATCATAGACAGTATTTGTTTTAAATAGTGACCAAAGTGAACAAAGTTAAAGAAATCGTGGACTCGTGGAATTTGCCAAATTTATTTCCCATCTTAGAAGAGACTCTCAGAGAGTCTCTTCAAGAGAGGTGTATAGCCTATACAGTATAGGTACCTATTAATTAATTAGGAATAAATAAATTTAAAAAATAGCTGCGGTTGTGAAAAATAATTGCAATGTTTTTTATTGCTGCGACATATTACTCTTCAGTAAAATAAAGGGCTGGGGGCAAAAAGTATTTGTAGCCTTCTATAAAGCCACAAGGTACCTATATATTTTGAGATGCGAGGAGTCCTCGCAGAGCATTACGTTTTTAAACAAGCCTTACTTACTTACCAAAAATATTTATAAATTGACTAGGTATATCTCAAAAACTTCTCTACTTTCACAGTATTTTCTGATTCAGCGGACAATTTTACATATGAATTGTCTATTAAATATCCGGGAATCAAATTGCTTTGGACAACAGTTACCTATTAGTGGCTGCTTTTTCCCCATGACAATTAGTCATTTTTGATTAATTCATTTTAAAAGAGTATGTTAAACTATTTGCCGGATGATTTCCTTAGATACTATTGTCAAGTCAATGGTATCCATGGAAGTTATTCGTCAAATGGTTTATTTGGAAAATAAGTAACAATTGAAAGATCGGCCCTAGGTAAATGGAAAATGTCAGGGTATTAATATTATTGAACCTATTACTTTTCATGAAAGTCTGGGCGTTTATGAATATTTTTCTTAATCAAATTAAGATAATTATGTTTTTTTTTATTAAATCGATCATTTTAATAAAGTCGAAAATCCATAAAATTTTATTCAAACAAAATTTTAAAATAAATTCATAAGTTCAGTTTTTTTCTTTATTTTTTATTTTTAATTTTCTATCAATGGCGGACTGAGGTTAAGGATTTTAAAATGATCGATTTATTAAAATACTTGCCTAGTATAAAGTTTAATTTTGTTTTTGTTTTATATATTTAGTATTTTTATAAAAAATAGATTTTTAATTCTTAAGACTAATGTTACTGAAAATTTTCATTGCGGATTTTATTTTTTTGAGACTCTTTAATAAATAAATTCAGCCTTGCAGAAAAATATTAGGAACCACTTTTTTATAATGATTTAATTTTCCTTAAATTATTCTTAAATTACAATATTAATTAAGTCATTTTAAATAGCTTTTGCTTGATAATTTTATTTTTACTTTTTATAAATTTTCAAAAAAAACCGGCATGTAAAAACGCAACATACCGTCTTATCCTAACGTCACGCTGCTTTATTAATTTTTGATTTTAGAAAAAAAGTTGTTTCAAATGACTTACCGATTGATATACTAGAGTTAAAAAAATGTTTTTCATAACACACTGTATATTATTCTTATAAATTAGGGTTTTATAGATTTTAATAAATATTTGTTTCAAATTTAGTTGGTTTTACTTACCCTTGTCCCCTTTCCTGGTATAGCCTGTATTCATTTTTTAAATAATTTGATAATATTTGATAGTAATCCCTAATGAAATAGTAAAAAATAAATAATAAAAATTGCCTTACTGCAAGTTAACTATTCGCAGAATATAATAACAAAATATATTGTAATGTACTAAAAAATTGTCGAGTATTTACTGAATGTTTTCGTCAAAATCAATTATTTTATTTATAGTTTAAGAATATCACTTAATAACAAGATTTATAATAATTAATAGTATGCTTCAGAAACTCTAAAGTTATATCTAATAGCTTTTATTAATAATGTAAATATATTTTACACAGTGCCATACTGATACACGTTACCGTTCTTAAATCATGTATTATTAATAAAAACTGTAAATATTGTAGGAAATCCTGGTAAATGATCTGCTAGAATATCCTAGTAAAATAAGTCGTATATTCACTTTGTCACTATATGAGTCGGAAATCCTGGTAAATTGTGTCAGAATACTGGCAATAATTATTATTGTTAATTTTTTTTCCGTGCATATATGCCTTAATTCATAAAATGATTAAACTGTCTTCTCATTAAAATAACTAAAGTTAAAAAAAGACTTCAGCTTTTAGTTGCCTGACAGCTCTGCTACATAGAACGTTTTAGTTAAAAAATATATTCTTACCTTGATAAATAATTGGTTCCTTTTCTCTAAAATAGGTAAGTGCTGGAAATTTAGTGATGCCATATTGCTTTGCTAGTCGTTTATCGTTAATTTTGACGAAATCGACTCCAAAAGAGTCGGTGTCGTCGTCGATTTGTTCCAATTCTTGCAGCACACGATCGCACGTGGTGCAGCTGCGAGCGTCTATAAAAAACAGTTTTAATTTAAATTTGGGGGCATGTGTTAATATTTTAGGTTTAAAATAAATTATGATACGAAGTATTGATAACCAGGGCCGGTTTTAGAGCCAAGCAGTACAAGCGACAAAGCAAAAGGGCGCCTAATACGTCGCGTTGTAATAAAAATACCTGCTTTATGCCAGCCAGGGATTACCAGAAAATAAATATTAAATTACCAGATTTTGCTTAGGATTACGAGCTTTTTGTTAATACTTCAACAACAACATAAAAAGAAAAAATGTCTCAAATAATTACAAATTAACTAGTAAAATCTTTTTTCCTTGCTTTTGCATGCGCAAATTTGAAATAAGATTAGAAATGTCTATCTTTTGAGCTTCCTCATTTTTGATAGAAATAATGGCTAAAGCTGATTATTTTTTATCGGTCATGTAATTTCTCAAATAAGTTTTAATCAACTTTAACTTAGAAAAAGATCGTTAAGCTGATGCAACCGAAATAGGGATGGTCAAAAAAATAATACCGTCAATTTCACTAAAACTGGAAGATCAATAATAATTTTTTACCAAAATAAAATCTAATAAATCAAAAATAAAAGTTAAATTATCTAAATCATTCTTAAAACTTCAATATTTTGCTTCTTTTTTGTAAAAGTTTTTACAATGTATTAAATGTATCAATATTGTTTAAAATTTTATTTAAAAAAAACTAAGAAAAACTGTTTCAAATTTGTTCAAGTTTTTCTTATGTGATTATTTTAGTTACTATAAAAGTATTAAAAGTATTGATTAGTTTTGGGGGTCCGTTTCCGAAGTATTTCAATTTTTTTCTATGAGAATATTGTTTTTGTTTTGCATTTTTATATTTGTGGCTCCGCTTTCGGGCCCCTTTTTAGCCCAGGCCTGTGTGCTTCGCACACATTGTACACCGGTAATTCCGCCACTGCAGTGCACTGTTTTGTTCTACCTAGGAGGCATCTTGGCTTTGGCTAAAATTGTGCCAAAATTTAATGTTAAGCCGTAGCCGCACATTTAACAGACTATCTGCAAATTTCCTAGTAGAAAGGAGGCTTTGACTAAACCTTCTGCTCAATTTTAGCCAAAGCCGAGTGTTTTGCCAAAGGTTACATTTTTTATACATTTCTTTAATTAAACCATACTTACTGCTTTGACCGAAACTTTTAAAATAACCACTACCAACAGCGGCGTAACTAGAAAAAGTGCCGCCCGGGGCAGCAGTGACTGTCGCCCTCATGTTTTTTTTTTGGGGGGGGAAGAGAGGTTAGGTTAGGAGTCAGTTTTGAGGACGGTACGCAAAATTAAAAACATATAATTATATATAATATATATATATATATATATATATATTATATATAATTATATGTTTTTAATTTTGCGTACCGTCCTCAAAACTGACTCCTAACCTAACCTCTCTTCCCCCCCCAAAAAAAAAACATGAGGGCGACAGTCACTGCTGCCCCGGGCGGCACTTTTTCTAGTTACATATAACATTAAATTGTAATATTTTAATTAAAAACAAACAAAAATTCTTAGACCTAGGTAAAGAAAAACAACAAATAAAATTTGCTTTAACATAATTTATATGAAAAAAACAAAGAGATAAATTCTCAACCTTATGTAAAAGTACCTAAAAAAAAACTTAAAACTGAGTAAAAAATAAATAAAAATGTTTAAATATTTAGAATACCGGTCTTGTTTCTATTTTTTGCTAGCTTTATTTGATTTGGAATATTTTGGGAGTAATTGTATAAATCTCAAATCTATTGGAATTTGAATTATATTATTTCGAAAGAGAATATTTAATTATCAAATATTTTTTTTATTTTTATATTCTGTCTTCCAGTTTTTTTCGCATTTTCTTTCACGATTTTTGCCGCCCCAAGAAGTGCCGCCCAGGGCGGACCGCCCCCCCCCCGCCCCCCCCTAGTTACGCTACTGACTACCAAAATGACTACTATTCCCAAATTTTTAATCTCAACTTATTTAATGTACAGTCGTATGCAAATAAAAAGCGTACAGCCTTAAGCTTAATTTTCATGTATCCGTTTGTCCGTTATCCGTTTGTAAGTTTTTCAATAAAATCGTCCGACAAGAAATGTTCAAATTTTTATGCATCTGTTTTTAAATGACGTTTACGAATTGATTTGGCGACAAATAGAAATTAAGGGTCAGTATATTTTACTTTACTAAATTTACCTAATGCTTAATTGTCATGGTTACAATTGTGTTAACAATTGTAAATTTAACAGTTAGCTGTCTAATAAATTTAAAGGTAGGTAAATAATATTTACTAAATATACCATATAAAAAGAATACACTAGCCTTAATATACAGGTCCTTTTAGTTCTGGTTTTAATATTTTTTGTTTGTCTTTCCTTTGTTTCGGTTATTCCTATTAAATAAAAACAGTAGAACATTATTCACATAACGAACGTAATATTTCCGTTTTACAATCTTATTAAAAAATATTAAAAGATTTGAAAATAAATTATCTTAAAATAACGTTAGGCGTCAAAAACAGATGTGTAGTGACAGTCTGTCACTGACAGATTAGTTAAAATTATTTTAACTTTCTCCGTCAGGTGTACGAAGGTAAAACTTGGCGGACCGAAAAAATGTCATAATTTTTGAATTATAATAAAGAGGTATTGCATTTGTCAAATATGGCGAGTTGGGTTATAAAAAAATACAGTGCCGTAAATGTAAACCAGCCGACAGTTAACTGACGGCTGGTTTAGATCTACGGCACTGTATTTTTTATAACCTAACTCGCCATATTTGAAGTGCAGTACCTCTCATTCTAAGGCTGTACGCTTTTTATTTGCCTACTACTGTAGGTTTATTTTGACAAAGCTGGTTAATTAATAACTTTCTTTTTTGTGTAATGGCATTGACTTTTACTTTCATATAATTAATAATATATTGAATTAATGCCGAATATAAACTATAAACTATAAACCGAAACAACTTTACTTAAAAAATGTATATATGTTTCATATCATTAACAGTCACGGATGGGACAGGCGGGAGACCTGGAAATTTCCCGGTGGGTAAAAATTGGTTAAAATATATTTTGGATATTACCAAATAGTTTTTTGAGTTCACCTACTTTTTATAATTAGCTTCATTTAATTACCGTCCGTGCAACTTGACAACGCCGAAAACGGTATTATTTCACCCGACGGTATTATTTGGCTAAGTTGAATCGCCCGCGTCACTGCCGATTTGACATTTCACAATTTATCCATCGAATTTTTGATTAGATAAACAAAACTGTTTTTTGAGTTGCAAGAATATATTTTAATTTAATTTTGACAATTGTTTCTAACACTGTAGCTTCTTCAGAAATGATTTCAAACTTTATCTAATAACAAACACAATTATTGCAGGTAATGCAGTGCCGGCTCGTCAGGGTAGGCCTCTGAGGCCGCGCCTCACCGTTAAGATGAAGGAACGAACGACTTTTTGTATTTAGATTTTTGCCTATTACAAGTGTATTTTTACAACAGTTCACAGCCTCGGAAGCTCCCATTTACCTCTAGAAAGCGAAAATGACTCACCAACAAAAATATTGCCGGAAGTTCGCGAATAAATACCGTAGATTCAGTCGTAGATGAGGCGAAATTTAGTTAGCTTGGCTTGTTCTGATTGGTTTTATCACATGACCGATGATAATCGCTTGTGGGGACGAGATGCTAAATGCCACTGACGGCTCCTCTTACTGCGCATGATCGCTTAATTGACAAATGTGCCGCGATTGAAAATGTTAAAGGCACGTTAGTTACGTCATAATTATAATCCGTAGATAGCTCAGATGGTAGGGCGGCAGCCAAACATTTGAATGCGACATAAGTCAGATTTTATCTGCCAAATAAAATTGATTTTGAGATAAGTATTGTGAATACAGTAAAACCGAAAAGTACTGCCGATAAAGGAAGAAAAACTGAACACATAGTATTGAAGGTGAGAGAAAAATCCAAAAATTTTGGAAAAATTGTATTTGACAACTGTGACATCAGTGAACATAACCCAACAAATTTGAGTTGTCAAAAACAGCTGATAGTACATAACCCAACAAATTTGAGCTGTCAAAGTCAGCTGATAGTACCAACCCCACAAAAAGAGGACATAACCTCAGAAAAAAATAAAAGTCAAGTATATACAGGGTAAGAAAATTAAGTATAAGACGGACGTGACATACGTCATACATAAGAAGCAGAGAGAGAGGGCAAACGAGGTAGAGCCATATACACGCAAATTAAAGAAGAATAAGACAAAGAAGCCACTAAGTAAGACTCTTGACAGCTGTCAGCTTGACAGCTGTCAACAAAACATCCTACAACAAGAAAAGCTAACTGCTGTCAACTTGACAGCTGTCATAAATTCGATAGAGAACAAGAAACTAGATATGAAGGACATACCGGAAGTACCCATGACGACGACAGATAGCGAAAATGAAGAAGGTGTAAGAAAGAAGATAAAGAAGAAAGCTGAAGTAGACGATGAAGGGTTTGTTAAGCCCAGGAACACAGCACCAATTAAAGTCCAATTTGTCATGCCGAAGATGATAACAACAGAGAACCGTTTCAAAAAGTTAGAGGTTGAAAAGGCCCCACCACAAATAGTTGAAGAAGCAGAAGATATGCAAACCGATAATATAAGTTAAGAAAAGTGGAACATCAGCAACAGCGTTAACATCAACAAAGAAGAAGTCCCAGCCACCAGTTGTCATAAAAGGAAGATTCGAAAATCATAGAGAGGGAGTAAGATCAATCCAATCTATTACACAAGGGGAATTCAACATACGATATACAAAGAACAACACAGTGGTTACACTTTCGAGAGAAGAAGATTACGATAACTATTTAACCCAACTCGACAACAGCAAGGCCCCATACCACACATACACCAAACAAACAGATAGAACTCATGCATTTGTGGTGAGGGGACTTGGTGATGTCGAGTTGGCTGAAATCTAAGAAGAGCT